TTATTCGTGTCTAATGTGGTGTGCATACCTATGTATTTACTGAAGACCAATATCTTTATTTTGTTAGTTGTCCTTGTTTTGTGTGTAAGTGATGTTCAGAATTATTTGGCCTAACTGTAAAAACAATATTTATTTTGTAGTGATAAGCAGGCGTGTGCCCTGGATCTACCTTTATAAAACTTTGATCACCTACATGAACTGTGTTAGATTAGTTTATGAAGTAAGTCCTAGTGAGTGATAGATCTTCAGGACAAGCGTTGGGCACCACATGCTGAAATTAAAAACCTAGGAAATATAACAACATGGGAGATCATTTAATTTCACACATGACCTGCTTTGGGTTCTGCCTTGAAATCTGTGTCTAATAACACTTTCACAGTTGCATCACTGTTGTTGTTGTTGCTGTTGTTTTATTTCTCATTTAAATCTTTTAAGACTTACCAGGACACTGTTGTAGTTCAATAGTTTTGTGTTCATGGCTAACATGATTTTGTGCACAACAGGTCACATTTCCAACAGCTTCCTTGTCCAGCAGAAGAGTCTGGTTCCCATCAGCCAGTTGGTGTGTATGTTGGACAGTCCAGCTGTAGTGCACATTATCTCCATCAGAGGAACAAGACACTGTCCTGCTCTCAATGGAGAAGCAATTGTACATCACAGCCACTGAGGACACTGCAGCTGGAAAATATAGATCAACAGCTCAGTGTAGAGCACACTTTAGTCCGGTTTACGAGCTAGTCAGGATTACAGCTCAGTTTAAAATACAGGCTATTCAAGATTACAGCTCAGTCCAGATTACAGATCAGTCTATAATATAGGACAGTCTTGATTAGAGCCCAGTCTAAATTAGAGCTCAGTCTAGAATAGAGTTCAGTCTAGATTAGAGCTCAATCTAGATTAGAGCTCAGTCTATATTATTACTCGGTCTAGAGTGTGGTTCCATCTAGATTACAGCTAAACAGTAAATTATTTCTCAGTATAGATTATAACATAGTCTAGATTACAGATCAATCGATCCCTATGTGTATCAAATTTATGAGCTAATAATGTTATTTGGCTGTCTGAAATTCTTCACCACTTAATTTTCTATAAACACTGAATGAGACAGTTAAATATCAACAAGTATTTTATCTGTTCTGAATACAAGAACTTATAATCAAAGCTAGTGATAATTTGGGAACAACTGCAAGATATTTACAAATACACGGTAATACAATGGTATCCTGACAAGTGATATTTTTTTATATTTGACTCTTTTAATGTTTCTCATTGAGATTATTGTAAGTTTATTATATAGTTACTTAACTTCTTTCTAGTCATCTTACATGTTTTAGTGATATTAGTAAGTCTACTATACTTAGGAGATAATTTTGCTTGTTGTATGAAACAAAACAAATTATCTGCCAGTGTAGTGAGATAGTCTGACTTACTAAAACTGATTAAAAAACAAGTATTAACAATCTCAACATGAGAAATATTAGATATCTCTACAAGATTTCAGAAAGTTAACTTGCCAATATCCCAATTTTTGCAGGATATATCTAAAAATCAAAAATTTCATGTCACGATACAGTTTGTAAACAATGGTATTAAACTCATATTGTGGTCTTACTTGATCAATATTCTCTATTAGGATTTACCTTCAATAACCAGCTGGAGATAATAAACGCCTCTGTCTCTCCCTGTTGAATCAAATGTTTCTAAAATGTATCTTCCTGAGTCTCTTTTTTCTGCACTGCTTATTATCATGGTGCTGTTATTAGTAACAAACTGCCATCTTGGATAATCTGAATGGTTTTGTGTGATTTTTTGTTTTTTAAATCTGAAAATGTATCCAGAAGCAGTTCCACTGATGCTCTTCTTTAATTCTAATTGATCCTCAGATGGCAGCTGCAGGTACAGTGGTCGTCCCACAGCTCCATAACATGGATCACTCTGAGTAAATCTACAATCAGGGTTCATGGACAGCAAACCTGCAGAGGAAGAACAGCAAGAACATTCTGTCATTAATCTGATACAGTGAAGTGTCGTCTACTGTATTCACCTCTAAAACACTTTAAACAGCCTGTTTATACCAGAGAGCTGAGATTAAACACTGAGTGACAGTTTTCAGTGAAGAAATGAATGTGTAAGTGAGTGAATGTTTCTGGGGAGACGACATCAGGAATGTAAGAAATGTGCAGAATAATTTTGTTTTAATTGTTTAAACAATAAATATTTTAATGTCACTGTAAAAAGAAAGAGCCATAAAAGCAAAATCAACATCAAAGGGAAATTCAATTGTTGTTCAAAATTTCTGCATAAAGTCATTCAGAGTGGTTTGGTGTGAAATGCTCAGGTTTAGAGAAACAGAGTCAGAGTTGTTCATATTGGTGGTGACAGGAACCAGAAATCTGAAGAGTTTAATACACTGCAAATTATCCTGTGTTTGCCAAAATTAAAACCTTACATCTGGAAATATGAGATTAATTATCTTGTTTAAAAATTATTCACTAGTTTCTCATTTTGAATTCACAATATATTCTTAAATTGATCATGAGTCTGTTTTTTATGCATCAATTTCTCAGCGAATCTTAAAATGGAGTAATTTACTGGTAAAACAAACTACATTAAATAGAGTAACAATAACAGCAAAACATTCTCCACTAGTATTAACTAATTTCCACTGAAATTATTGATCTATTTTCTTGTTCGTTGGCCTTCATTTTTTTAGTGTTCTAAATCTAAGAATGCAAAATGCAAATGAATTTTGCTAATGTTCAGCATTTTTCACTTGTTCTTGTGTTGTAGCTCGTCTGATTTCTTGTAATTTGATCCAAAAACAGCATTTTGTACTTATTTCAAAACCTTTGAACACCTTTGAATCAGAGCCTAGGTCTAAAAATTGTGCTTATTTCTTGTATTTTAGTGTGTTTATCTTTTTTGGTTATACCTCTAAAAGCTCCCTCACAGAAAACTATTACAGGAAGTGGTTATGAATATGTGACCTGATATCTGAGACATAGTTTTAAGATAGTTTAGTGAACCTTTTGTCCAAAAAAGTCATAAAAATATTAAAGGTAAAATTATTCCCAAATATAAACTGTTTAACATAATCAACATTACATATTAAAACTTAGAAGTAAATTATCATCATAAAACAACTTAAAAGCTTGTCGGGCTTCCAGGCCTAACCAGCCCGGACCCTTATAATGTTATACAGGGGAGTGTTCTCTCACTTCTCAAGCTCAGAGAGGCAGAGAAAGAGAAAGAGTGAGCGTGAACACATGAGAGCTTGAACAGGAGAAATGTGTGTGTGTGTGTGAAGCCCAACTTAAATGCAAATATTTAAAATATTGTTTCTTTTTATTTAGTTGAATTTAGTTGTTTCTTTTACTTAAGTTGAAAGATTCAAAATTTTTCGTAAGTTCATTTTTAAATAAAAAAGTTTATTCAAAAATTGCTGTCCCACATTTTCATGTCACTACCGAAACACAAAGAGTTTTAGTCTGTAGGCGGGGCTTTATTTTAGCCACACCCCTGCATTTTAGAGCAGGAAGTGAGCAGTTAGATTCTATTGTTTTGAAGTAAATGTGTCCCAAAGTCTGAAAATCAGTGTGTAACATCAAGAAATGTCACTACCGAAACACAAGTTGTCTGCAATAAGACACATTTTTTTGTGTTTCAATGAAAAATATTATGATTTTATGTGTGTACAACTGTTCAAAGCTGTGTTTGCTCCAGTGGTGGATGAAGTACACAAACCATGTACTTGAGTTAAGGTAGAGATACCCAAGGTAAAATGTTACTCCAGTAGAAGTAGAAGTGCTGCCTTTAGACCTCCACTTGAGTAAAAGTACAAAAGTATTTGCCTTCAAATGTACTGAAGTATCGAAAGTAAAAGTACTAAAAGATTAATTATGACTCTGATGTCCTATTATCATTTTTGTAACAAGACTCTGCTTCATTAACTCATTTTAGGTGAAAATACTCCAGTGTCACTCTTGGTAAACCAATCTTTTAATAGAATGTCATTAATTAGTCTGTCGCTGATGACTATTAAAATTATCATAAGCACAAAACACTGAAGGCAAACAATTTCCATTAGGTAGAACCGAGTGGCCATGAAATATTTTTTTTTTGCAAACAAGCAAAGTTTCGGTTTAAGTTTAAGTTTAATAAAAACTTGCTTTAAACAGGTTCACAAATTAGTTTTCCTTTAGTTTGTTGCATCTGTAGGTCTCTGTTCGTAAATATAAATAGGTTAGGTTAGTTCCATCATTTATGTCGGAATAGACACTCCCAAACTTTTACACTGCTGCACTGACGTTGAACCGTCCGCTTGCACTAGGTAGGGATGTCCAACAGGTCAAAACAAGCTCAAAACAAAGTGCGCGCTGTACCCTGATTGGTGTTCTTGCTTCACACTTCTTTCGTTTTGACGTTAAGTTTTTATGCACACATGAGACAAAAGGAATGACAGATTTCGCATAATGTAGTGGAGTAAAAAAAGTAAGATATTTGGCTTTGAAATGTAGTGGAGTGAAAGTAAAAAGTCGACCAAAATGGAAATACTTCAGTAAAGTACAGATACACGAAAAAACTACTTAAGTACAGTAACGAATTACATTTACTTAGTTACTGTCCACCACTGGTTTGCTCATCATGTACTGGTGTTTTGAGTTCTGCTCAAAATTAGCTAAAATTGTCACAGCTGAAACAGTCACTACTGAAACATTTGGTAAAGTTTTGGTAGAGTTATGATTCTTTTAGTAGTGACAAAATGAAATGCTCAGTCAGTTGTTTGAGTAAAATTAGCTTAATTAACTTATAGGTTCACTGAAAGCAAAGGATTTTAGTCTAAAGTCAAGTCAGTTTAAAGTCTGAAATGTATTTTGAACTCTGACTTTACACCAGTTCAGTAGAACGATACATATAAATAGAAAACTACTTTTTGCTACTGTCATCAAAAAGTGTGAAGTTGTTAAATCATAAAATGAAATTCCACTGCAGAAACTTACCCATTCCAGCTTCTGTGAACATCACCAGGATTCCAAAGATGACCAGCATTTTCATTTAGTCCAGAGAACAAAGATCAAAGCAGCCAGATGCAGCCTCCACTCTGACCACTCTGAGATTTGATGCAACAAAAAAATTTGAAAAGAGAAAGCGTCATTACATTTATGTAAGATCCCACTTCCTATTATTCTTTTCAAAACATGCAGAAACTATTAAAATTGTATTTATAACTGGGCTTTATTTTAATATTTCAGTTTTCTGGAAATTTGTTTTTGGTATTTAGCAAGTCCTTCAAAAAATCATGACACCTTGGAACTTTTTGAACCTTGTTACTTCATGTCTCTGGTCATATTCAGCATGATTCATCATGTCATATCATTTAAAACACTTTCCTGTAATCTTCCATCAACATGTAAAGCCTTTTCCCCTCCTCTAAAACCTTTTCTGAGTTTTGATTGTGTCACTGTGCACCGAAGAGTTTGATACAGTATGTAAACATTGTTAAAGACATTCACTCCTTAGTTTGTACTATTCATGCGTACACACATGGACAAAATTGTTAGGGTTAGGGTTAGACCACAGACAAAAGTGATAATTGAAAATGAACTGAAAATAAACTAATGAAAATCAGACATTGCTTTTTTTTTTTCTTTTTCCTCGCCACTGTCGCCAAGACTTGCTCACTGGGGGCGTGGACCCGGATTCTTTGTAAAGCTGCTTTGTGACAACATCTGTTGTAAAAGGCGCTATATAAATAAATTTGACTTGACTTGACTTTTGAATTGTGGTTCAGCAGAACAATTTTTAAAAACAAACTAATGAAACTGACCTGGACAAAAATGATGTTACCCCTAGAAAAGAATGAAAATAATTTGACCACAGGGACATGTTACACTAAGGTGTGTCCTGTAATTAGCATCACAGGTGTCTTCAAACTTGTAATCAGTCAGTCTGCCTATTTAAAGGGTGAAAAGTAGTCACTGTGCTGTTTGGTATCATGGTGTGTACCACACTGAACATGGGCCACAGAAAGCTAAGGAGAGAGTCATCTCAGGAGATTAGAAAGAAAATTATAGACAAACATATTAAAGGTAAAGGCTATAAGACTCTCCAAGCAGCTTGATGTTCCTGTTACTACAGTTGCAAATATTATTGACTGTAGCCAACCTTCCTGGACGTGGCCGCAAGAGGAAAATTGATGACAAATTGAAGAGACGGATAATACGAATGGTAAACAAAGAGCCCAGAACATCTCCCAAAGAGGTTAGAGTTGAACTCCAAGGTCAAGGTACTTCAGTGTCAGATCGCACCATTCATTGCTGTTTTAGCCAAAGTGGACTTAATGGAAGATGACCGAGGAGCAAACCACTGTTGAAAGCGAATCATAAAAAAGCGAGACTGGAATTTTCCAAAATGCATATTAACAAGCCAAAAAGCTTCTGGGAGAATGTCCTTTGGACAGATGAGACAAAACTGGAGCTTTTTGGCAAGTCACATCAGCTCTGTGTTCACAGATGCAAAAATGAAGTATACAAAGAAAAGAACATTGAATCCACTGTGAAACGTGGAGGAGGCTCGGTTATGTTTTGTGGCTGCTTTGCTGCATCTGGCACAGGGTGTTTTGAATCTGTGTAGGGTACAATGAAATCTCAAGACTATCAAGGCATTCTGGAGTAAAATGTGCTGCCCAGTGTCAGAAAGCTCGGTCTCAGTCGGAGGTCATGTGTCCTCCAAAAGGATAAGGACCCAAAACACACAGCTAAAAACATCCAAGAATGGCTAAAAGCAAAGCATTGGATGATTCTGAGTTGGTCTTCTATGAGCCCTGATCTACATCCTATTGAACATCTGTGGAAGGAGCTGAAACATGCAGTCTGGAAAAGGCAGCCTGCTGGAGCAGTTTGCTCACGAGGAGTTGGCCAAAATAACTGTGGACAAGTGCAGAAGTCTCACTGAGATTTACAGAAATTTAGGGCTGGCTCATGTAAATGATCTGTAAAAGAGGTGCAGCTAGGCTGGCGCCTGATTTCATACACTGAAGCTGATTTGCACTCAAATCTTCACTTGTTTGCATGTCTAATGGAAGTTTTACAAATCAGACACAGAGCAGTTTGTACATTATTAAAGGTGGTCAAATCTGCCCTCTTTATTTGTGACTTTGATGAATGAGGGTTATTATGTGTGTACAGTTGTAGAGGATAAATGTACTGCAAATACATTAAATAACAAAAATATGTACAGCCACATAAAAAAAAAAATATCAAATGACATATTCTATTGACTTTCTCAGTGAAAATAAGTGCACATCCTCTATGGAGAACACACTTCTGCACAATAAGTAGAATGTATGGCATTTTTTAAATTTTTAATACTGTATGTTTTCCATTATGTTAAACCAGACAAATAAATAGAAAGTATGCAGTAACATTTGCAGGAAAACAGAATATTAAGGTTTGTTCAAGTTTTTGCTATAGACATGCACACACCCACCTCATTACAGAGATCATTGGACAATGATTATGCTGTTATTCTAGTTTTTAATACAGCTCAATGTATAAGATACAGACTCCACTAGAACTTTAGTTTGAAGATTTCTTTTCACCCTTTCACACTGTCAAGCTTGCAAGCACTGCATTACCAGTTCACTACATTGTCAGCATGATTCATTGCAAAATGCAAAATCATAAGATACCAAGATATATTATCAATATTAAAAACAAACCCATTGATATCAGTGCAAAGCAGCTGTAAATTATAGGGTGCAAAGTGTGAACTAAGTATTATTATTCATTCATTTAAAAATGATATTAAACAGAAGTGAAATATAAATTACTACTTCTTCACATTTTTAATTGCAGAATTCCAAATTGTAAGGCACTCAGTATTAGTGAGGAGTGACCAGGACACTCCTGTGAAAAAAAACATTTAAATAAAAGGTAATCAACCTACTGTGAGAGGCTCCCGTCCACACCAGCAGCAGTACAACGATGACCTGCAGTTTGTTTGGTTCCAGAAAACAATGACCAACAGACTCTGATCAAAGCTGTAGAAAATGGACGTTACTTGACCCACACTTTGTTCTTCACCCATATAAAGGTGATAAGTCCGTCTCCTAACTTGAACTGAACATCATAACCAAAGAGGAAGTTTATTTCTGTTTGTGTTACTTCCTGAGTTTATAACAGCCACAGTGTGAGTAATAACAGAAAACTGATGATGATCAGCTTCACTGTAACAATTTGCTTCACAGCAAACATTTACAAAAGTGTACTGTCTGAAGTTGCCCCTTGTGAAAGAAAATGTACTTTTAAAAACATATTAAAAAGAAAAAGTACAAACTTTTAATGTTTACACTTTGAACATACTTTAATACATAGTAAATGGAAAAACTTACAAAGTTGTTTTACAAAGTTCCATTTTACTTAGACTTAGACTTAGACAGACTTTATTGTCATTCAAATTTACACCGTACAGTGCGCATTAGAACGGAATTACGTTCCATTGGTTCAGAGTAGATCAGGGAGAAAAAAAAAAATACAATGTAGTGCAAAGTGTAGTGCATATGTAAACATATGTATATCAACAGATACATAAATTTTAAATAAGTATATACACAAGAGAGTGTATTGCACTGGAGCTCCCAAGTATGGCGTGTTCAAAAAAGAATTGGAGCAGCATTTTATTTAGAGTTCAGCCGTCTTATGTCATGTGGGAAAAAGCTGTTTTTGAACCTGGCTGTTCTGCTTTGAAGACTTCGGAACCTCCTTCCAGAGGCCAGCAGCAAGAACAGTCCTTGGTGAGGGGTGGGAGGGGTCTCTGTTTATGTTTTGAGCTCTGGTCAGACAGCGACTTGTCGCAATGTCCTGTAGGGGAGGAAGTGAAGTCCCAATAATTCTCTCTGCTGTCCTTAGCACCCATTGCAGGGACTTCCAGTCAGAGGCACTGCAGGATCCTGCCCAGACAGAGATGCAACTGGTCAGTATGATCTCTACAGTGCCTCTGTAGAAGGTGGTGAGAATCGGAGGGGGGGAGGTGTGCTCTTGTCATCCGTCTCAGGAAGTTCATGCGCTGCTGACCAGCATCTGCTTTTGACCAGAGCTTCAGTGTGGACTAGGTCAAAGTGTCCATTATCTGTACCCCCAGGAACTTGTTTTTGCTGACTATTTCCACTGCTGTGTCCTTGATGAGGAGTGGTGTGTGGTTGGGTTGGCTCCTCCTGAAGTCGACGATGATCTCTTTGGTTTTCTCGTCATTCAGGACCAGGTTGCTGGTTTCGCACCAGTCAACAAGATGGCTCACCTCCTCTCTGTAGTCCAGGTCATTGTAATCCTGGATTAGGCCCACTACTGTCGTGTCATCTGCGAACTTCACGATGTGGTTGGTAGTGGACCTGGCACAGCAGTCGTGGGTCATCAGGGTGAACAGCAGCAGGCACAGGACACAGCCCTGAGGGGAGCCAGTGTTCAGAGAGATGATACTGGAGACATTGTTTCCCACCAGCACAAAGTCCAGCAGCCAGTTACACAGGTGGGTACTGAAGCCAAGAGGGGCCAGTTTGCTTATCAGATGTTGTGGGATGATCATGTTAAGCGCTGAGCTGAAGTCCAGGAACAGCATGCGCAGATGTGTATTCTTTCCTTCCAGGTGTTCTAAGCTCAGGTGAAGTGCAGAGGAGATGGCATTCTCTATGGAACGATTTGGGCAGTAAGCAAACTGGTACGGGTCGAATGTGGGAGGGAGTTTGGAGGTAATGTGGTCCTTTACCAGCCTCTCAAAACATTTCATCATGATGGGGGTGAGTGCTACACGGCGTAATCATTGAGGGAGGAGATTGTGGTTTTTTGGGCACCAGTATGATGGCAGTGGCAGTCTTTAGGCATGATGGTACAGCAGGCTGTTTCAGTGAGGTGCTGAAGACACACATTTTTTTTGTACATTTTTTCCTAGCTGAAACACTCGTCTACTGCTGATGGCTCAGACTGTGTGATGGAGAGTCTGATAGTTGCTGTTCTTCTCCTCTGTCGTTGTCCCCTTTTTGTTCTTGGCCTAGGTTGGTCCACAGAACCTCCTCCACCTCCTTACCTACGAGCATCACAGTGAAGAAGGCACTTGAGGTGACCACCACACTTATAGTATCTTAATCAACACTTTGGATCTAGTCTTCAATTCTGAAAAGAAGAAATAGCCACAGTACAGAGAGTCCAAGCTTAAACAAGACTTTACAGCAGACAAATCAGCAAATTATATTAACATTAAACTGGTTGCCATGACTAACAAACTTCCACATTGATCCAAGTTTCATGACTGACCATGTTTCCATTTTTTCTTCTGCAGATATATACCCTGGACACTTTATTAGAAACCCCTTGAGGCTGCATTTTGCTGGTCTTCAGTGAGAGACTATACATGCTTATTTTGAAGTAGCCATCTTCCAGTCCCTCAATGGACAGTTTCTGACCACAGATCAACATTTAGCTAGGTCATTTTTGCATAGTGGCACAGTCTTCACTTGACATTGACATTTACAAACTGATAAACTGAGCAGCAACATAAGTTACAGTCTGTAATTGCTCACCTACACAGTTTACCTATAAGGTTGGTGGAGCTCATAAGCTGGCCAGTGAGTGGAAGTACAAGGTAAGCGTTTCAAATAAAGTGGCCAGTGAGTAGAAGCACAAGGTGATTAATATTACTATATATGTTTTGAATGTATAAATAATATATATTTGAATGTATAATAATATATATTTTAATTATAATATTAAACATTAATGAATGTTAATATCATATTTAGTCTTACTCTCAGGGACAGCAGGATGATGACCTCAAATAGATGCTATGTAGAAACTGTACATGCTGGGTGAAACATCAATCATGTGGAAGCTGTGAGGACTGCAGTTACTCCTGTTAACAGCAGAGGGTGACATAGACATTGAGCTTAATGTCCTTTTGCAGTGCTTTCTAACTCTAGTCCTGCTGCTTGGTTTAGTAGTGGTTTTAACAAAACCTTGTCCACTGGGCCTCCCCTTCATCTTAAGCACTGTTCCCTTAAAGTTTAGATGAGCTCTTACTATGTTACTATCCTGTTACTATGAAATGCCAGGTGGTTGCTAAGTTGTTGCTAGGCCATTGGCATTTATTAACCCACATTTTACTTTTTTTTAAATTTTGAGTTTTTGGGTACTGTGACTGCCTCTTTCCATTCTTACTAAAGCTGGTGTATTTTGTCCACATCAGTCGAGAGGAAACTGAAAAGCGTTCACTTGCACCTGTAGCTCCACAAGCAGGTTAAATCTCACCTGCAGGATTTTACACGTGCTTCTCCTTTATATCAGATCTCATACATTGTTTAATTTAAATATTTACTGACATGAATGTTAGAACTGCATTATTACATGGAATCCTGTTTAGCAGTAAAGCTACACAGAGCAGAAACAAGAGGATAACAAAACCTTTAATATGTTGATGAACATATTAAACACATAGTAAATAAATAGAATTGCAATTGCAAAAAATATTAATAATGAATCTTTAGCTGAAGATGTGGATTTTAGAGTATTGTATTTTTTATCAAACTTCTTTGAAAGCATTAAGCCACTGAAGGCAGTGTGTCACAGGGATTTCATTATGTTTAAGGGGGTTTTACTCCACGTTATGTTGCCTAATATCATCTCTTAACTGTGTAAAAACCACAGTAATGCACAGCCTCTCATGGCTTATTGCACTGCTTAACTATAATTAGCTTTACTTAAAGTCATGATAATAATAAGTGTTTTTATAAAGCACCTTGCATACACCAATGCAAGTCCTTCACAAGATACACTTTTAAATAAGACCACATGAACATCAAAGCAGAGGGAGAAAATAAAAAGAACAATTAAACAAGAAACTTAAATATACCTGAAAAGCAGACATAGTTATAACATAAAACAACAAACAATAGTAATATCAATAATAGTAAAATAATATCAGTAATAAAACAATAATATAAATTAAAATGTTATTCTAGAAATAGGAATATAAAATAACAATCACTATAAAAAAATAAGAGCGGTCATCTTTGTACAAAAAGTCAGCAACGGACAATAAAATCATGAAAAATATTTGTACTAAAAAAAATTCTGTACTAATGTTTACTAATGTTATACTGATGTTGTACTGATGTGTGCTGTTTCATCTCTCTTGATAAATTATTCTATTGTTGTTGGCGCATAAAAACAAAAGGCCTCAGCACTTTTTTCCTGTTAACTTCTGGTGCTTTAAGAAAGGCTGCATTACTGGACCTTAAAGAATGAGACAGGCAGTACATTATGTATGATGGTGCTAATCCATGTGATACTTTAAAAACTTGCAGATTAATATACGGACCAATCACTGTATACAGTAGTAAGATTTGTTCATGTATGTGATGCTTGAACATATTTAAAACAGCTGTAGATCTTCAAGTGCCATGTGGTCAAATATCCATGTGATGCTCATGTTCTTCAACTGGTTTTATTTCACTGGACTTTGCTTGAAAATAAAAAGTAAATGTTGTTCATTTTTGCAGATCTGATCTCAAAACTTCAGTAGATACACTATATTGCCAAAAGTTCCAGCATGGTACCGTGATAGGATGCCACCTGTGCAACAAGTCCAGTCGTGAAATTTCCTCGCTACTAAATATTCCACAGTCGACTGTCAGTGGTATTATAACAAAGTAGAAGTGATTGGGAACGACAGCAACTCAGCCACAAAGTGGTCGGCCACGTAAAATGACAGAGCGGGGTCAGCAGATGCTGAGGCGCATAGTGCGCAGAGGTCGGCAACTTTCTGCAGAGTCAATCGCTACAGACCTCCAAACCTCATGTGGCCTTCAGATTAGCTCAAGGACAGCATAGAGAGCTTCATGGAATGGGTTTCCATGGCCGAGCAGCTGCATCCAAGCCTTACATCACCAAGCACAATGCAAAGCGTCGAATGCAGTGGTGTAAAGCGCCACCACTGGACTCTAGAGCAGTTGAGATGTGTTCTCTGGAGTGACAAATCATGCTTCTCCGTCCGGCAGTCCGATAGACGAGTCTGGGTTTGGCGG